AACCCTGAACTAGTGGTTTGCTAGGGAACCATGTGACAATGTGGCCCCGGGGCCTCGAACAGCAGGGGACAGAGATGGGGTCACTCAGATAGGGAAGTCTGTGGCCAGTCCACAGTGCCAGGGCTGAGCCTCACCACGCAGACCACCTACGCCCACAAGGACAAGGTCTCTCTCACACACACACACACACACACACACACACACACACACACACACACACACGAAGAGTCAAGGATGGAGCCAGTCCTTTGGACCCAAGATTCCTATACACTGAATCTCTGATCTAGGAGACAGCTTTGACACCAGAAGAGCAGCAGGTGAACAGCAACAACACTTGAACCAGGAGCCAGAGTATGAGACAGAGCCGTGAACTTCCCTGCCCAGAGCACGTAAAGTGGAGTGCTTTTGTGCAGGAGGAGGGTTTGTGGAGGGAGGTGCTTCTGGCATTTAATTGGGGAGCTGGGGTTGCTAACCTATAAAGCAAGAATTGAGTGCCTCAGGTTTAGCTTATAGTGGAATCACATGCCCTTTAGGTGTTTATTGGCAGATTTAAAAGAGCTTGATAACTTTGTCCAAGCAGGGTAGAGCCCAGGCCTATTGGCTAAGTCAGGGGAGGGGCCAGTCTGTGGACACAACAGAGAAGAAACTGTATCCTAAGCATTTCTCACCTGTATTGTAACCAGCTGACTTTCCTAATAAACCCCATAATCCTGAGCACCATCTATGAGGTCTGTGTGGCCATTGCAGGGAATTCTAGGACCCACCCATAGAAGCAGAGTGCTGTGGGGTAAATGGTTAGTGTGAGGGATAAACCCAGTAAAACGGGATTAGAGGGTGGACATATCTGACCTCCACCTTGTAGCGATCAGCCCTGAGAGTTGATGTGCACTCCCACCAGCACCTCCACCCACTCCATGCAGGTTTTTTTTTTTTCTCACAGATACTGAAGAGATTGTGGGAAGAGGGATGTCATTGCTGATGCCACATGGACCTTGGCTGAAAGCAGACTACCAAAAAGATGGTTACTTCTGTGTGCTAGTCCGAACTAGAGAAACACACTCAGAGACACTCATATGTGTGTAAGAGAGAGTTTGATATCAAAGAGCAATTGTATATTGAGAAAACAACCCAGCCCAGTCTATAAGTCTGATATTAGCCTATATGTCCGATACTAGTGCACAAATTCCTCGAGTCTAACATTGCCACTAGCAATGATACTGAATGCAGGAAGATCACAGGCCAGTGATTGAAAATTATTGTGGACCCAATGGCAGTAGAAGCATCACAGGGATGTCTTTTTTAAAAAAATCATTTCATTGGGGGTTCAGACAGCTCTTATCACAATACATGCAAACATCCATTGTGTCAAGCACATTTATACATTTGTTGCCATCATCATTTTCAAAACATTTTCTTTCTACTTGAGCCCTTGATATCAGCTCCTCATTTCCCCCCTCTTTCCCACCCGCCCTCACGAACCCTTGATAGTTTATAAA